TATTACAGCTGTATATTTGGCGAAATGCAACAATAGCTTTACAACATTTGCAGCCGTCTTCGCAGTTTGGATACGAAAAAAATGATGATGGAGTGTTGGAACCTATTACCATGTCTCAGTCTGTTGCGGCTCCAGAAATTCTAACTGATGTAGTTTGTTCATGTAATGTTATGAACTGTGACGCCCCCTCTTGTCTAGCACGATACAAATATAGGTAACCAATGTCATCAAGAGAATTCATTTGTGCTACTCGTTAAACAAGTTTCTTTTGCAGTGTCTCAGCATTTTCTTTTTATCCTTTACACGAATGCTCCTAATCAGGAAGGAATGGTTAAAGAGAACACATTATTAAATTGAATGCGTTTTGTTTTGGTTTTGTAAAATCAAAGATTATAACTACTTTAAAAAACAACAGGTAAATTATTTCTATGACCTTCGCAAAGTAACAGTTATAATAATGACAAATACCTTTTGGAAAATTTTGTAGTTAGATATACGATTTTTGTAAAACAACCAAAAACAAAAGAAGCAGTGTTGCCCATACCAAACAATTAAAGAAAAAAAAATATGAAGAAAATATTAAAGGAAGCTTGGATATCTTGTTGTAACATTTAATAAGTGTTTTCTCACATTCACGCAGGATGAGATTCGCTTACGTATGAGAAGGTATAGCGCATGAAGTTTTATGATAGCATATTATAATTACTTCCCCTCCATTGAACAGGCTCGAAATTTTAATGTGCTGATGGTAAGGTCTTTGTTATTTTGATCGGTATTGTTTTGGTTGTTGATGGGAGCTTTCCAGTATACTAATAAGCTATTAATAAAATATGTCCTAAAACAGAAACAAATGAAAGCGTGATAAGGAACATTTATATGATATGTTTGTGGTTTATCCCGTTTTAAAGAAAGAAAAAGTTCAATAGTGAATACAAAAGTGATTAAACAAGGAAACTATATTGGGAGGTGTATAAGGACTTGCACCAGGTGTGTGTCTTATTACGGGAATGTATGCGATGGTAACCCTCAAATTTGCCGCAAGGGTTTACATTTTGTCTGCCCGCGATAGCAAAGGCCACCATGGCAAAGACAACGTCTGATAAACAACAGAACTTTCTTCTTCAGAGGTATACAATAAATCGTTCTTTTGAATGATAAAAAATGAGGCAATAGCTTTATTTTTATGAACAGTTCCTTTCAACTCTAAATTCGATAACTGGGAAACGCCATCAAATATGATAAACAAGATCAACAAGGAAAGGCGGCGTTCAATGAACGCAACCCCCATATGACCCAGCAAGGCAAGGAGCCCGGCGGACCCCAAACAAAAACAGGAAAGGGCACAAGTCAGCACGGACAGGTCAATCACTAAATGATAAATAATTTGTAACTGATTAGGAATTAAAAGAAAACAAATAAATGATTGAATAATAGGCCCACAAAGTCAAAGGGCACAGGGGAAGGGGACAGGAGACCGGGGGAAGGGGGGGGGGGGTTTAATCAAAGAAATAAAAACTAGGGGTAAAGGGGGAAGATACTTACCGTAGACGAGAAAACAACAAGGGACACAAGCAAAAGTGTCACCAAAACAGTATGAAACAACATAGACATACATCTAAGGAACACAGAGGGGCGCCGCCTTGGAACGGTCAGCAGCATAATAATGACTGCTGGGGAGTTTAAACCGGTTAATGGTGCACCAAACCTCGCTCTTAGCCCCACCATGTTCCTATAAACGAGACAGTGTAAATAAATTGAATCCCCGCCAAGTGAAATTCTAACAGTTGTTATGGTTACAAAAGGTTAAATAAGTAAAACACCAAAATGATCATGTAGAAACATATAAAAGTAAACCCAATGACCATAACAAAAGTACTCAATGTCCTAAAAGAAGACAGAGCAACAAGAAAATCACCTACAAGGGCCCGACGAAGCAAGGCAGAAGACGAAGACAATTATGTCCCAAAGGGCTTTAAGAACTATCCATCATAGAGTCTCCCACTTGGTCCGTCAGATATAATCAAAAGAGGAAAGCGTAGTGTCCAACTGTAAAAGGGTTGAACACTTAACATGCAGTATGTCTTGAAATAGTAGGGTCATAACCTCTTTTAATAAAACGTTTAATGATTTTAGTAAAAACAGCAGTAAATTACCATGACTCAAAATCTTACGAAGTTTGTAAATCACATCGCCATAAAAACCAGGCTGGCTAATTCTTTGTCACAGAAGAGTTTTTAAATTACTATTGAATTTAGAAATTAAATCACAAATTACGATTGTAAAATTTAGTAAAATATTTCCGTAATTTAACGGTAACCCTGTTTAAGAAGCTTGCTGGTAATAGAAATATTCCGCTTGTTGAAACCCTTTACGTTGCTACAAGCTCTAGCGAATCTAATTAACTGAGAAACATATACACCGTAAGATGTTACATGGGGTACGTCTCCATCTAAATGTGGATAATTAACTATACAAAAGTCAAAGTCATCTCTTGTATCATAGATTTTCGTGTGAATAGAATTGTTGTTGATAGTAATATGAAGATCCAAAAATGATGTACTAAAATTGCAAGAGTTCGTTTTATTAAGTTGTAGTTTGTTTATGCGGATAAATGTCAGACACCATTTGATCAAAATAAGAATTATCTAAATTAAAAATATCATCAAGGTATCTAGAAGTATTATTAAATGCGACTATAACATCTTGTTGTTCATCTTCAGAGAGACTCAACATAAAGTCTCTTTCATAGCAGTACAAAAACAAATCGGCGACCAGGGGTGCACAATTAGTACCCATAGGAATTCCTATGATCTGTTTAAATAGGGTATTACTAAACCTGACATAAATGTTGTCTTAAAGAAAAGAGAGTGCTCTACAAACTTCGTCACAAACTACATTGTATATTGCAAGCATTAATTCATCAACTTTCTCTAAATTAAGATTTTATGTGTCTGATCAGATTTTGTTGACCGTGACGATATATTAAAAACCTCGGAAGGATATAAAACCCTGCATGGTGACAAGGGGCGATAAAGGAAACGTTCAGTGCTAAAAAACAAAAAATATACCTTACATTTGCTTATTATTTCCTCAATTAATTGGAAAAAACATTGAAAATAGATTTCAGGAACTGAATGCTAATACAGATGGCGATTAGAGAAAATGATGTAAACAAGAACTGGCGTGAGTATTTTTTTAAATTGTTTTCTTTTCTGTAAACTATACTAATTATGTTAAATTTTGATGGTGCACATCAAAGACGCCGCCAAATGATGTGAACAGTCACAGGTAATGTACAAAATCAGCCTTGACTATTGTTCTCTATTACAGTTGAATATCCGAAGCATCTCATTTTTCTTGGTATGTGCTCGTTGTTTGATAAGTTGCATATTTGTGAAAAAATAGAATCTAATGCATAAATTCACAAAGTAATGTCATGTCTGAAATTCTGAAATGTTTGTCTGTTGCGACAAAGATTGAAAGGTCTGCTCGAAGCAAAAAAATGGGTCACAAGCAAGACTGAAATGATTAGTATACTTAAGATAAAATCAAGAAAAAGACATATCTCCATTGTCCCGAGTATATGTCTATTTTGCCGTCCTATATATTCCTTCAAAACATCAAAAATTTAAAAAATATATTAATATTCAATTTAAAAACAAACTCCCATTGTAATATTTTAATTATTCTAAGTAAAGAATAAATCTTTGTTTGATAATTGTAGTTTATAAATTATTATTTATGGATTTATACAATATTTTATTTTGTAAGAAAGATAAATCATGTTAGTGCTGAATTTCAAGTAAGATTATAAACAAAGCAGATATTAAATTGAAAACATTTCTGAGTGGTATGTCTTTAATTGAAGTTTAAAAGTTGTTATTTGTTTAACAATCATGTATTGTGTCATTTTTGTCTGAGTTTAAAAGATACAAAAATGAAAAATATATTTACGATATTTTTGCTTTTTTCTTTTCAAATTATTAGAAACATAACAATGATATTGTATCATAGTTTATGGACCTTTCTGTTAAAAATGTGTCAGAGTTAAATCGTATACATATACATGCACGGTGCGATAACTGGAGTGCAGGTATTAGTTACCCTCACTCCCAGAGGTTGCCGCAAAATGATTGGCTCATTTTTGCTGGTGTTTACATATTGTGACGGCAGAGAAAGGGAAAGCGACAGATTGTTCAGATGTTTGTTCATTGGTTCCTTTTTGCCGGGGTTTCATATTGTAACAACAGGGAACGTGTTTTTATGTTTGACTATGATACAAAAGAGAAAGATCATCAAAACACTCGGCAATCTGATTAATACTCGAGGGCTACGCCCCCCCTCGAACAAATCAGATAGCCTCGTGTTTCGATGCTCTTTCTATTACTTGTAGTAGATGTAAGGACCATTTAAATTGGTTTTGGTCAGAAAAAAGAGATGTGTTTAATTTTTTCTGTCTACTCAAAATGTTTTATAATTTTTCTTTCTTTAGAAAGTAAATAAAAAACAAAAAATAACTATAAACGGCATGTGCTAATCAGCTTGCTTACATAAAAAACGGGAAACTACATACCTGGATCTCGATTAGCTATCGAATCATAATCATGTAGTCTATATTCTTTCAAACGTGCGGTAAACAAAGTTATATTACTTAAGAAGAAGTGTATAAATATCAACGTCTTAGATAATAAACAAAATGAACATAGTTTGCGATTAGGAAAAGGTTTTCAAATGTATTTTAAGTTATATGTAACATGGACTAGAATGTCTTACAAAATGATATAAGCACAGTTATGATTGATTTGATATTTTTTTAAATGTCATGTTTATTGATTACCAAACAACTCATCTTCAGTTAGCAATATGAACATTTTTCCACTGTTTATTTGTTCAGAAGCTGAATTGGTAAGACTAAGTGCAAAAAAAAATTTAAAGTCATGGGTTTGTTTATTTCAAACTGAATTATATTCCGCCTTTAGTTAATGCATTACAGTTTTGTTGTGTTGTGCTAATGTGTTTGATGTTGAATATATTATCATAGCTTAAGTATATATGAAAACGCTCTAGGATACGTTTGATATACACTTTATTCACATTAAGAAAGATTATGTGACAGATGCATTAGAACGCGCTGTCTTTTAAGATGTCTGATCGTATATTTGATGATAGAAAGTATGCAATATTTTGCAAGAGCGTTATTGACAGAGAGACGTGTTCGTTATATGACCAATACTTTGGTAATCGGAACGGTCGATTCGGTAGGCCTATATGTGATAAAAATACCGGAGTGTTACCGCGTGACATATTTTGCAAAGCAAAGGGATCAAGAGAAATTTACGAGGGGATGAGATGTGCTATGTATGGACATGAAGAAAACTATAACATTACAAGAAGAGATGGTTCTTATATACGAGAGCTAGAGCGTATTTCATCAAGTCTGCTCAAACTTTTAAGTGAGGCGAGACAGAAATCATTAAAGGTAAAATAATTGGGTTTCATTTAATTTTTTCGTACGTTATACTTATTTATTTATTTCTTAATATATTTTTTAATATTATCATTATTTAATATATTTATTATTATTATTATTTGCTAGAAGGTTTTGAATGACACATTGTTATCGGACAAATCATTGCTATCCTGGTACACGACAAAATGCACTATCCACAACCGTCTTAAAATACTCATTTGGCGTGTTCTGTCACTTTAATTTTTTAACATTCTGTACTTGTACAACGAAATTTAGAGGCGATATATTTGTACGGAGTACAGATAAACATTTTCGATTAATCATTGTAAACAATCTGTTACTATTTCAAATATAAGGTGCTCTGTGTTCCATATGTCATCTGCAATGAATTGACAGACTTTGTTGCAGGAGAAAGCCTCTAGTGATGCTTGGCAACGGTCTCCATTGCACGAAGACAGACCAATACCAGCGGTTTTTCCTCAAGAATATCGTCAAAAGATTATTAATAAACAATGTACATCCCATTCTGGCGGTGATTATGCAAGGAAAATGCATATACAACAGGAACAAATACCATTGAGAACCACAAGACTAATAGCAGAGGTAAGACAATCCTGATAATCTTATCTCTTTTCTTTTGAATATTATATTCATTAAATAAAAACTTTAAATTCTACACTTGGTGCATATTTTAGTACACATATTTATATTAATTGATAGCGAATATAAATTGAAATGAGATCTTGATGTTGACAAACAATCAACTATATATACAGTCGGCATCGTACTTGCCTCCACCTTTATTAAGCGACTTTTTTATTAAGTGGCCGCATAAAATCCCTCCCGATGATTTTTACTATATAAGTTAATTCCATTAAAAGACGATTTTATATCGCGGCCAGCGGCCATTAAATATCGGCCCAAATGTACAAAAGTGTTAAAGTATCTATTAAAAGGCCGTGACAAACAAGCGTCTCTACGGGCATTCCCACCTTTGTAATCAGCGAGTAGGTTTGATGTGTACAAGCAAACAAAAAAACACATGTTTTTCATGGTCATTAGTCCAAAAGTATCTATTAAACGACCATCACAAATAATTGTCATTTACAAACGAATTGAATAACAATTGCAATTGTTTCAAAATTGAAAAAAAAAAAACATTTTTCCGATCGTAATATTTATTGTGACATATTTTGTCAGAGCAATAACGTATCACAACACCGACTTTGCACAGTTTTGTTATGTGCTAAGAGTGACCTCCCTTCCAGAAAATCAAATCGAAAATGACATCGGAACGAGCGAAAAAATGACAGACGGATGAATTGAATGAGGAAATCGTTCATGGAATTGAGTCTTAGTAGATAGTAAATGTCAGCGTTTGTAGTCGAAATAAAATCGTGAAACGTAGTGGACTAAACATTACAGAACCGAGCCTTTCATTGCTGATGGTGTAGTTGCTCATCTGATGCTTTATAAAATACATCTAGTACCCCATTAAATATGACCCTTCGACAAAAAAAAAGAAAAAAGAAGATCTCTGAAAACCTTATTGAATTTGAAATTGGGTTAGTGTGAGAACTAATTGCTGAAAAAATCAAGAAGTTTAAAACTCATTGCATGAAAATTATCTGGAGCTCTGGCTGATGATTCGAAAGTATGTTCAGCTAACATATTAACAATATAAGACAATATGCTTTGTTTCATGGTCAAAATGACCTGTTGATAGTATTATGAGCGTAGATCACATTTGTACACAAATTTTTACTAAAACAAAAACAAACACATATTTATGACTTTTTTTTTTAAAATGGCATTAATGTAATTATGAAACTGTAATACATACATAATATTGTGCAGTATTTGTTTTTATAAAAAGATGTTATTATATCTATGACGTGTTATATAAAAAAGTCTCGAATTTTCCAGAATTCTATTGAGAGACCACTTTATTAAGAGACCACTTTTTGGCAGTCTCTTGAGTGGTCTCTTAATACAATGTCAACTGTTATTTGTACTTCAATTTGAATATATGACTTTTTTTTTAAAAAATGTATATGAATTCAATTCAATCTGTATAATGTATTTTATAGTCATTGCACCTAATTATTAAAAGATTATTAAAGATTAAAGGAAAACAATTTCATATCCCATTCGGCATTTTCACGTTTATAAACAGATTAAAGAAGAATATTATTTCTGCATCATATTACATATTTATATAAGATGTTGACGTAGGATGATTTAAGGTTTAAGTTTGAAAATGCATCTTAAATTAATTTTCTCTAACAAGCCTTCCTGACAGACATTGCATGGGATAATTTATTTTATATGTAAATGAGCATAATAATACCGATGTCTTGTCATTAAACATATGCAATGCATTGTCACATTTGTCAACTTGATATGTCATTCTTGCGGATATATTTGATTGCATCACATGCTTAAAATGCTTTTATGTATTGTTTAACTGTTTTAATTTAGAAAATTTTTAATGTTTTTATGGTCGAGTTGTGTCTTTTAAAAATATATTTTGAGAACTTTTGATACGCATAACTTTATTTTTCTCTAATGTTTTAACATGATATATAACAAAGCTCAGATCAGGCACGAATTAAAATGTGTAGGTAAGATATTATCTTAACAAGGAACGTACAAGCATATTTTTCAAAACACAAAATATAAAAACGAAACAATTTGATGTTGAAAAGGTTGTTATAATAGCTCTTTGAGAAAATTAGGTAAACAACACAAAATTAGTACTTTAAATGTTGACCAATCTTTGGAAAATGTTCAAGAATAACTTTTTTTATTGAATAATAAAAAAATCGTCTTCTACTCTCTTAATTTCTTCATCATATTCAGTTAGAATAGTTGCTATTTAAGCTCCAAAAACGTTTAATTTCTAATCATGTCTAGGATACAAACCAATATCACATCTAAACGTGTAAAGTACTCTTTAATCTCTTATTTGTCTCAGGTGTAGACATTTACGAAAAGTTATTTGAAAAACATAAATTATACTGTCAAAGTATCTTCTTTGAATAAAACATTTCATGCTTCGTTTGTGACATACTGTTCGGATTATTGATACATTTTCTGAATAAATCAACTGTTTTCTAGAATGACACTTCACAGATGCTCATATCAACGTCTTCCGTTGACAGTCACGAGACATCTGAAATACAAGGAAAGGCATGTAGAAAGGAGTTTAAAAAATCTAAAACTATTTTACCCGAAACAAGTACGAGACAGAAAAAGACAACACATAATCTAAGTAAGTAACTGCTTTGCACTTTCTCACCGAATTCAATATGAAATATAATATATGTTATTATACAATAATAATTTTTTGTGTTTTAATTTATATTTATATTGTTGGTTAACGAGTGATTGTCATTAAATTAAGCTTCGATTATTTTATTCTGGATCCTTATTATTTTTTGCTTATGATTTTATTGGTAAAAAGCTTTATCTAATGAAACAGTTCCATAAAATATTTATAAATTAATCAGTAAAAGTATCATGCTTTAATAAACCTATAGTATATTCTAGAAAGAGTTGTATAATTGGCATGCATAAAAACAATGTTTAGAATGAGAATAATATGATAGAATGAATTGTTCAGGAACAAACATTTAATTTATGTTGAAAGGTTTTAACCGCTTTGCACTGATTTCGTTCATGTGTCATTCATTCTAAAGGACATGTACAGACAAATATTTTGAATATTTTCCTTCTTTGCTCTTGTAAAAAAGAGCTAAAATATCTCAAAATCTAAAAGGAAACCTTATTATTTTTTCTCGAAGAATTCGTGACAGTTTTTATTTCCTTCTGGGAGTTATTTTCCATGTAACTATCGCAGTGTTTTTTTTTTTTTCGGAACAATAACTGTGCGATTATGTTCGTCCTTTTATCATGCTCCATCTTGGAAAGATAGCGTGGCAGGACTGTACACCAGACCATCCGTATGCCAAAGTAGGTATTAGCAGTGATTTATGTTCCTCAAAAAGGGCATTCCCAATGACCTGTAGATGAATGGAATTTGAGGTCACAGTGACGCTGTGTATAAGCCTAGTCTAACTTCAGACGCATTGTCCATGTTGGAAATATGATTTCCATTGATTTTAGGGTCATAATGTCAAGGTTACAGGTATACTTTGTAACGATAGGGGATTTAACAAATAAGCCGTAAAAACACATCTGGATAAAATGTGATTCCCAGAAGCATTAATCACAACAAAATTACATGAAAATTGCAGACTTGTTTTGATTGAATTTTTACATTAGGGACTATGCTATCTACGTGCTTGTTCAATGTCATTTGACAGTTACGTTTTGATATTTCAACTCAAGGGGCCGTCATTGCACAAAGCTGTTTTACTTTGCGGCCCGAGTCACACATTCTTATAAGATGTGCAACAACAGCGCGTGGCCATGCGAATCATACTGTTTATAATTTTCTCCGTTAATGTTAAACTTTTATGCAAGATTGATGTTTATTATTTCAGTTGAAATGAGAAGAAGAAATTTTATCAATAACAGGATAATAGAGTTACGGAACCTACTTCCTGACCACATTGATCGGTTTGTATAATAGTAAAATAATATAAAAATTTGTTTTTGGTTATACCTGTATTTATATGAATTTACAAGCGCGTAATATATTATGGTGTACCTGATTTTATAGTACATTTGTTTGGAAATAGAAAGGGCCTTTTTAAAACAGGTACAAAACAATTCCATGCTTCTATTGAACAACGTTTAGCATAATAATTAAAACTAAGTTGAAATACATAGAACAATGATTTTCTCAGTATAAAAATATCAGGATGTATTTATGATGCTTTGGCTACAAATAACTTCATCCTACATTTTGGTTTGGAAGTCTTCACAAATACAACTACATTTATTAAGAGTATGTCTTTTCCTGTTCGTTTCAGTGCATCATGTAAAAAGAAAGGTTCCATTTTGAAGGAGTCAATTGAGTACATAAAACAACTGAGACAAGACCAGGAGCGTATAAAATGTTTACATGATCGGATATGTGAAACTGAGATCACAATAAGTCAGTTGGCGGATAAATTGGAGGTAATTCTTTTCATATTTGTTAATAAATAGAAACACATCAATTTTTATATCATATGTCACAGGATGAGTAAAACAATGACGAGTACTGAAATCAATGACCCGTGTCTCTACCGTCAGAGCTATTCGGCCAAACACACATTCTTTCCCTAATTAGTAAACAGTTCTTAACCGTAAAATACTCCACCGCTGTATATTGAAATTCGCAAACAGTTTTGTGAGCAGAGTGGAATGTTAATTAATTTGAAGCTTTTTGCAGTCAGAGTGCCAAATTTCATAGGGTGAGAAAAAGTTGCACTCCGACGGGGATTCTTACGGGGACCCTTGGAATGCTATACTGTGACTCTACCGAGAGTACTTTCCTGTCATTTATCTCACACACTTTGACTTTATTATAAACTATGCATTTAAAGATTACATGGAGGTTGACAACATTACAACTGACTGAATTAAGCGAAGTAACAACCTTAAATGTTTAAACAAAATTGCTGTACGTGTTTCAGTGCATTTGCGTTCACTGACATTAAAAATATACAAATTTTGTTTGTATGCATTCGCTGATTTCATTTTATGACAATATAAAATACAATTTTATGTTATTACAATACAGATGCTTTTTTCTTGCCTTGCAGCAACTTGAGTCACAAATATCGAACAATAATACTACAAGAAATGATGACACCGACATGATGATGTCGGGGGCATCAGAACAGTCTGAAAACGTTAAAGTATATGCCGAAGATGACAGCGTGAGTGGACAGGAATCATACTCGTCGCCTGAATCACCGCGATCTGAAATACCGCAAATCGAACAAGTTGGGCATGAATTGAATCAAATATGGGTTGACCTATCAACAGCAGTGGCATCTGATTCAACAATGTCTTACCCATTTTGTTCAGAGATCGACAATGGTGCAATGGATTACTGCCAATTGGCTTAGCAATGATTCAGCCTGAAATAACAAATTCATACACTTAAACCAGAAAAATAAAACTCAATCCAAATTGTGTACTTCAATTCTTGGTTTGTTAAAATGTTACTTTTTAAATATTTCACTGATGATCATGATTTTTTGATTATTGGACAAATGTTTTTGTTCCAAATTAAATTAAATAGATTGCATACTGTGCAACATTTTCTGAAATATTTATTTGAATTGAAACCAAATGTACAGAATAATAAAAGTTTAGCGTGTTGAAAGTTTTGTCTAGTACGAGTATAGTGTAACTGTTCAATTATGGTCGAAAGTCGTATCGTCATGCGAATGCAATGCCTTACATTATAGTCATGGGTTGACCTTCTATGAAAGTTTTAGGTTTATTCTCCATTCAAATACGTCCTCGTCAGGACTCTTAATATACTATATATGATAAAAGGTCTGCTATATGCCCTGAAATAATAAGATTGTTTTATTCTTTAAACTTTCTTACTTCTTTAACATTTCTTAGGCCTTTATCACATCATCCCTACGGCAGCCGTACTAATGAATGACAAAAATCGCTGTGTTTTGTGCGGTAGCCGCAAGGCATTCGTACGATTTCTTAAAGGTCTGACTGATTTCTGAACATGCGCATTATTTCTGCGATTTTTTGGACAGATTTTGCACGTCTCAAGACTGTCGTAATACAATCGTAGGACAGACTCGCGATATCCAGAGCTGCTAATGTAAAAATGTTTTGCGTTTGTCTTGTGAGAACCGCAGAGCATCTTGCGGCGATCGCGGTCGTAATCAAATGATGTTAAAAGACATATACACAAAACTGTCTTGACAGATTTCGAAATTGACTGCGACCTTTGCGGAACAGATTTCTCGATAAAAAGTACGAACCAAGTTTCGTGCAGCTGATGTAATAGAGGCTTTAGTTTGATGTGCAAATTATAATAATGTATAATGTACACTACTCAAATTAAAAAGAAAAAGTGCGTTCGTAATATAAGCTGATAATTTATACCTGTCAATAACGTTGCATTAATCAAGTAACAACATACAAAGAAAGCACGCCTATACCAAGTCAACTTCTGGTGCGGCATTGCCACGCATAATAGAATAATAAATAATTGACAATAACGCCTTTTTGTGTCAAAGTACAAGTGAACCGTTTTCAGCATCGTGAGATAGGTACATACGTTTGCAATTTAACCAAAAGACCTGCATGTGGAATTTGCATTGAAACTTCAGCGTGATGTGTATGCCTTGACAAAAATTATGTTGGCTCTGTAAGAAAAGTTAAAAAGTAATTGGAAGATAGTAAAGATAAATATTTATGAAAATAAAACATTGGCATTTGCTATATTGTTAACAACCGGAAAAAATGTTGTCATAATAATGGAAAGAGTTGCATAATGTAACATTTTGCGAGATTACCGATGGCGATTCGGGCGCGAAAGAAGAGACGTATGGAATCGAAAAAAATACACAATGGAAGAACAATCTACATCGGTGCGCCTGCAGACAATGCGTTATTATCATTTTGATAGAGATGTTATTGATGTTGCTGCAATATCTTTTTCAACCATGTTTAGAACTAATCTACCGAGCTATTCATAAGACAGGTGAAATAAATATTTATTTTTTCATTCCCAATCTGCGCACACATGTTTAACTGTCAACGGACTTTTCTATGACTTTGATATTGCTTTATACAATAAAATAATGTATTATAACTACCGGTGATCAAATCAAGGTATGCATTATGACTTTTCGGATTTACAATTTTGCTTAATAGAGTACTTTTAATTAGTTTTTATAAAAGGGTTTCTTATTTTTACGTTATATCTGAAAAAAGGAAAGTTCACACTTTTTGTATAACGTCAGATGTATTTTCTTCTTCTTAATATAACTATAAATGATCTGACAAAATTAAAGTAAGACACCGCCTGCTATATACTTCTAACCATAGAAAAATATTTAGCTGTTCACCAACTAAGACGCATGACAGTTGACACCCAAAAGATTCTTTGAAAATAGATCTAGGTTACATAGAATTACGTTTGCTTGTGGCTTTCATTGATAAAACAAGAGCGATTTGTGATCATGTATGTCTCTTTATGTTAACCAGTTAAAGACATGTATTGAGAGGTACACAGTTTTTCCCTATATGCCGCAACTACTATGTAGCATGTTGCAGCTTCTGTGCAGTTGAATACACCTTTTAATTCAAGGGCTATTGCTCAGCTTAACATCATTCAACCGTAAGGCCATAACAATGCGCAAGTTATTGCATTTGTAGTATAAGAGTTGTAGTTCAGACAAAATGTAAAAGATAAAAATAATAATAGGGCTATATATTGGACGAAAATCATTGATTTAAAAAAAGATTACGATATGCACAACTTAACTTGGCGCTGATTGTTCATGAACAATTGAACGAAATTTCACCAGAAGTTTTCGAGGATTAGTCCGGACTAGGTCTGTGACGAACATATGGACAGACAATGCCCCTTTCTGTGTAGGTTGTAATGAAAATTTTACTGTCAAGCATTTTCTTCTTGAATATCATGATTTTTTACAGGCCCGTACTAGATTTTATTCTGTAAATTCACTCAAAGAACTCTTTAATACAATTCCATCAAAAAACGTCATTGATTATTTGAAAGAGATAAACTTGTATTCTAGGATCTAATTGGCTCATTTTTATTGTCATTTAGAAAGTTTTATATAACATTTTAAGCCTATTATAGCATTCGGCACGATATGGCCAGTTATGTGTTGACGTGCCGTAAAAATCCAAACAAACAAAAAAAACAAGACAGACAAACAGATGATAGAGAAAATCATTAATCGACATAAATTGTATTTTCATTCATGGGCCATAACTCAGCCGGACATCTTTTAACCGGAAAATTTGTAACATATGCACAGGTGCTGGAGCTAACGGTCAAACTTGTGAAGTTTCATTCAAATTGCATACTGCTTTTAGAGAATTAGTTCGGACAAACTAGAAAATGAAAATCTTTAAAGGCCATAACAAAAATCCAATTGAACTGGAAAACGCTGACAATATTTAAAACTTGACATAGTTCTGATCGTTCCTGTCAAGTTTAGTGTTATGTAAGCTTAATATTTGTGATTCCAATTAAAAGGATCTTCTAGCAGCGGTGACTACAATACATTTAATGAAATTGCACAAATAGTATCTATGGTGTAGTACAAGTAACAAAGGTACAACAATGTTTAGCCTGATCGAAATCCTCTGACTCAATGAGCTATACATACAAATATTCTTCACAATTAGTGTTCATTTCTAAACAGTGACATTTGCACATGTATTCAGAGTGACAATTAAGGTTTTACCACTTAACTGCCTACCGTCAAAATATGATAAACAAGATCAACAAGGAAAGGCGGCGTTCAATGAACGCAACCCCCACATGACCCAGCAACAAGAACCAATGGCAAGGAGCCCAGGGGGACCCCAAACAAAAACAGGACAGGGCAAAGACAGAGCACGGACAGGTTAATCATTAAATGATAATTAATTTGTAACTGATTAGGAATTCAAAGAAAATAAAAATAGGCCCACAAAGGGGAAGGGGACAGGAGACCGGGGGAGGGGGTGGGGAGTAATCAAAGAAATAAAAACTAGAGGCAATGGGGAAGATACTTACCGTAGACGAGAAAACAACAAAGGGACACAAGCAAAAGTGTCACCAAAACAGTATGAAGCAACATAAGACATACATCTGAGGAACACAGTGGGGCGCCGCCTTGGAACGGTCAGCAGCATAATAATGACTGCTGGGGAGTTTAAAACCGGTTAATGGTGCACCAAACCTCGCTCTTAGCCCCACCATGTTCCTATAAACGAGACAGTGTAAATAAAATGAATCCCCGCCAAGTGAAATTCTAACAGTTGTCATGGTTACAAAAGGTTAAATAAGTAAAACACTAAAATGATCATGTAGAAACATATAAAAGTAAACCCAATGACCATAACAAAAGTACTCAATGTCCTAAAGGAAGACAGAGCAACAAGAAAATCACCTACAAGGGCCCGACGAAGCAAGGCAGAAGACGAACATTAAGACAATTCAGTCCCAAAGGGCTTTACGAACTATCCATCATAGAGTCTCCCACTTGGTCCGTCAGATGCAATCAAAAGAGGAAAGCGTAGTGTCCAACTGTAAAAGGGTTGAACACTAAACATGCAGTATGTCTTAAAATAGTAGGGTCATAACCTCTTTTAATAAAACGTTTAATGATTTTAGTAAAAACAGCAGAAAAATTACCATGACCCAAAATCTTACGAAGTTTGTAAATCACATCGCCATAAAAACCAGGCTGGCTAATCCCTTGTCGCAGAAGAGTTTTTAAATCACTATTGAATTTGGAAATTAATTTCATTATGGATCACTATGAAAAGCTGAAGCGTCATAATAGAAGAAATATTCCATCTTGTGTAGCTAAAAGAATAAGAGAAGGAAAGTTCTTTACCGAATTCAATTACCACAGTTAAAAAATATAAAAATATATTAAAAGTACACAATGATTTATGTACAGACATAGAAGCTCATAAGCACATGTGATTTTGTTAACACCTGTACATATATGTGTTTTGGCTGACTCTTTTAAGTTATTTTTTCTACCAAGCTGTTCTTTTAAATAGAATAGAAAAAACAGAAACCCTAAAGAAACACAACAAAATTAAAAATGTTGCAGACTCGGTTTGATTGAGCCTGTTGATGGACGGTACTGTAAAGTGCAAACTACCGTCTACGCCCCCTAGCACCGGCTGGAACCACCCAAGTTGAAAATGGCCATATAGAAGAAACTAAAAGTACCACATAACGTGTATACACAACAATAATGTCGTGCTGAACGATCTTCAAGGATCGAAAATATAACATCATTGATTAAATGTACGAGGAGACTTTTTACAGCCGCCACACGGCACAAATAACACCGATGTGAAAATACAATAGAAAAAAAAACAGAAACCCTAAAGAAAAACAAACACAACAAAATTGAAAATGTTGCAAGCTCGGTTTAATTACTTTCCTTAGATATCAAAACTTAAAACAGATATAATTTAATGAATTTATTTGTCCAAAGTGTCGCTATCAATATCTAAAGTAATGGATATAATCAACGTCAAAGTACTTTAGAGATAATCGAATAACCGCCTGTACTGTATAAAGATTAACACAAACAGTAGAAATATATGAAAACAAATAACATCCAAAACAAATAGCGG